GGACCGGAGGGGTGGGAGCAGACGGAGCCTCCCACGGCAGCCAGCCCACTGCCTGGTCACTGGCCGTGTCCCCATCTCTGACCTCGGCACCTCGCCGGCCGCGTCCCCGATTTCCGACCTCGGCACCCCACCGGCCACGGCCCCGATCTCCAACCTCGGCACCCCACCAGCCACGGCCCCAATCTCCAACCTCGGCATCCCGCCGGCCGCGTCCCCGATCTCCGACCTCGGTGCCTCACAGGCCACGTCCCTGATCTCTGACCTCGGCACCCTGACGGCCACGTCCCTGATCTCGGCATCTCACTGGTTGCATCCCCGATCTCTGACCCCAACATCTCAAGAAACAGCTAAGCCAGGGCCAGCGGCATCTGCCTGTCTGGGAGCCCATGGAGAATGACGATTTGGGGATGGGACCGACAAGCCCTCTGGGTGATCTTGATGCCAGTGGAGTCTGACAGCAGATGGCCAGGGGTCATTCCAGCCCCGTGCCCTCCCCTGGTCTACCACCGAATGCCTGTCCAACCCAACCACCCCGCCAACTGCAGCCGCTGCCTCTGGCTCAGGGACCCCAGCCCGGGGAAGCACAGCTCGGAAGGAGTGGCCTTTCCAGGCCCTTTCATCACAGACCTGTTTACATTCTGCCACGGCTCCCACCCACCCAAGGATGGAGGAGGCCACGCCTCCTGAGGCCCTCCCACTGTGTACATGCCCTCCTCCTGTCCCCGCCCCACACAGTGACAGACACCCCCCAGTCCATCTGCTGTCACGGTTGTCCTCTGAAGCTCCTCCAATGGGCCACACACCCTCACACTTGAGCCTTTTCCCAGGACGCTCCCTCTACCCAGGATGGTCCCACGGTCTGACCAGCAAAGCCTTCTGCTCCCTTCCTCACCCACCTCCCAGCCTCCTCCCCGCCCTGCAGGACTGAAGGGCTTTGGGTCCCCAACCTTCTACCTTCTAGGACAGTAGAGCCTCCCCCACGTACCCCCTGGGACCACCCTACCTTTGCCCTCCCTCTCAGGTGAACTCTTCACCTCCTCCAAGAAGCCTTCCTTGCTCTCCCAAGACATGGCTAGGTGCTCCCTCTTTGTGCCTACAGTACCCCATCCACACTCATCCCACACAAGACTAAGAACTTCCTTCCCCACCTGCGTCCCTAGTAAAGGGGGCCCTGGGTGGGACTCTGCCTCATTGTCATCTCTCGCCCTGCCCATGGCAAGTATTCAGTGAAGGCTCCCCGAGCAGATTCCGAGAGGGGTGACCTAAACCACCACTGACCCTGCTGCCACCGGGGATCCTGCCACGCTGTCCCTGACTGTCCCATATGTCCTGCCACACACGCTGTGTGGAGGGGCAGGTGCATGGCAATGCCAGGGCCAGGGATGCCCACCCTCGGGACAGAGAGGACGTGGGTGGGTAGCTGCCCTCGGGGCCGCGAGGTTCTGGCCCAGAGGACGTTCTTCCCACCCGCTAAGGTACACAGGACGTGCCCCCAGCCTGTGACCAGTGGCAGCACAAAGGATGGCTGAGTGACGGCTGAGCTCTCTGGACGCCCCATGAGAGACCCCCGAAGACAGCCAACCACACTGCCCACTGCCTCGCCGCCTCCTCACCTCACAGAAGGCACCGCCATGGTGAGGCCGTGTCTGCTGCTTGCTCACGACAGAACGTGTGCGAGAGCGAGCGAGCGAGCACAGCACCCTCCACAGGGCTCGGCCATGCCGTGATCCCCTCTTCCAATCCTCCCACCCACTAGGATCCTGGGCACATGCACACACGTCTGGCTGTTTCAGGATGACCGAGCTGAGGACTCGAACTGCGGTTAGCACGTGGCTTCCAGCTCTGCAGTCCGGGACGCCACCACCTGTGCCCAAGGCTGGGCCACGTCTGCATTTTACTGGAGAGCACTCACTAAGTAGGCTGCCACTCACACCCTGGTGCACCTGGGGTTGGGGGGCACCAAGAGGGTGACAATCCCAGCTCAAGTCACGGCTCCCTAGTCACATTATCGGGAAACTTCTCTGTGGGCGGTGACAGGATCAGGGCAGTTAGGAGGGCTGACACGCTCAGGCCAGTCTCCCTGATGCAGATCATCCCACAGCCGGGACTGGAATGAGCTCCCACACCCAGCAGCAGAGGCCAGCAGGTCGCCTGGCCTGCAGAGGGCAAAGGGCAGCCCTGTGGTCTCCCCAAGGTGTGGACTCCAGAGCGGCCAGGAGTCTGCCATCCCCTGCCCAAGTCCAGAGGCTGACTTCCAGCACAGGGCCTGCATGGCCCTGCGTGGGCCACATCTCCTGGCAGGAGTCCTGGCTGCCGTGAAGATGGCTGGCACTTCCCGCACAGGACAGGGCCTGGGAAGGCGTGCATGGGAGGGCGTGCTGCTGTGGGCTTGAAAGGCTCTGCCAATCAGTGCTAGGAAGGGCGGGTGGCGTCACTGAGAACGCGGGCTCCCAAGTTGTGGGGTGAGGCCCTCCAGGGCGTGCAAGCGAGCACCTTGGAGCTGGGGCTGTGAGGACAGCCAGCACTTAGGACGTGCTCACAGCACCAGGCACCACTGACCTCCTCTCCCAGCACCCCAGAGGACCACCGTTAGCCCATCCACGGGGAAGGGGCAGAGGCACAGAGGTTAGGCACCTGCCCCAGGTGACAGAACGGGGGAGCCGGGACCCAAATCTGCTTTCTGGCCACACCACCTGGGTGTAGACACTGTTCCCTGACTGCAGACCCTTCACCAACCTGCCCAGCAGTGCTGATCCTGCCGGCCACCACAGCCATTTGGCACGTGAAGGGCAGTTCCCAGAGGGCGAGTCACACCCAGGCACACCGCCAGTCTGTTAGAACCCAGAGGCCAATGTGCGCCTCACCTAAGCCACACCCGCCCGGCCCTACAGCCAGCAGTGCTTGGTCAGGTCGGACTGCTGAAACCTGTGGATGCCCGCGCCC